AGGTCTGTTAAAAGGTTGTCCAAAATGAGTGGCAACTTTAGTTGCCACTGAGCGCTTACGGTTTGGTAATAACCAAAAATTTTCTATGTAATAGAAATGTATTAAAAACTAATCATGCTTTAACAAAACTAGAGATACATATTATGGAAATTATTTATGGAAAGTTTTCAAAGCAAGTCACATGAAGGGTTACATTACATTTATTATACAAGTATGTTGTTCTTCTTTGACACATTTTGCATCTGCGGTACTTTGAGTCTCCTTTCGCAATAATGTATTTTTCTTGTTCGTTCTTAGATCTTCTAAAACAGCGGAAGTGGAAAACGACGTGATGCGACCCGGGTTAGTTGGAGAACATCCATATTTTGTAAGAAGCTGTAATACTACTTGTCTTCTTAAATTGCAAGTATTGTAATTCGTGACCTAGAAGCCTATATAGAAGCCAACCTTGAAACACAACATTCATCACACAGACCAACATAGAGTGCCCACTACCATTTTTATTGCGAATTTTGCATATATATTGAGCAGTGAACTGATCATTTAATCAACACCTCCCATATTAGAATTATAGTGGAAATGACATCAGGCATTTTAATCATCATCGTCTGTTTTTCACGTTTACTAAACCGATGAACATTTTTAAACGGCACTCCTGTGTGACAGTTTGATAATACTGTTACAACAGCATTACCATTCCATCTAATGACTGTTAGCTTTCTATTAGATATGGAATGTGTCGTCCCTCTATCACATTTCTTGAAAAGATTCTTTCGGAGGTAAATTCATCTACGTTGCTATTGTATTTTTCTCGCAATGTTCCAGTCCTCCCAAGTCTCGGTTAGACAGTTCTTCAAGTAAGAATACAAAACTGAATAAATTGTCAAAATATAATTTAGTCCTGTTTAGAAACGTTGGCATTATTCAGCAAGTCCTACTACATTTCCTTGTCCCGAGTCCAGTATTAGGAAGCTTTGTATGTGCACCGCAGTATGGTTCAGCATTGAGACACAAAATCCATTAGGTCTTGCTAAAAAACCCACAATTTAAACCCAAAACGAATAGGTTTGATAGTATATATATATATAATATATTATATATTATAATATATGAAGGTTTTTGAACTTCCTATGTGAGTAGCATAGAGCTTCAGTGGAAAACGCGCCATCGGGTTTCTATTTTGCGCTAAGGCCTTCACCTCATTCCAAGACTTTCCTTGTTTTCTTATCTCGTCCATGATGGATCTTCTCCAAGTTTGTACTGGGCGACCTTTTTTTCGTTTTCCTTGGGGATTCCACTCTAGGGCAGTCTTTGCAATACTGGAGTTATTTTTTCGGAGTGTGTGACCGATCCAACCCCACTTTCTGGACTTTATTTCATTTACTACCCTCTTTTGTTTGGTCAGGTGTAGTAAATCTTCGTTTCTGATGATGTTAGGCCAGAAAATACGAACAATTCTTCGTAGACATTTATTAACAAAGACCTGCAGTTTGTCTGTAAGGGTTTTTGTCGCTTTCCAGGTTTCACATCCGTAAAGTAGTACAGACATGACATTTGACTGGAATATGCGGATCTTTGTCCTCGTAGTGTAGTCTCCAGACCTCCAAACAGGGTTGAGCATGCTGAAAGCTTGTTGCGCTTTTCGTATCCTCATACGAATATCGTCTTCTGTACCTCCGCTTTCTGTTATGACACTTCCAAGATACGTAAAGTTTTCCACATTTTCAATCTGCATGTTATTAATGGTGAATAGCGTGTTGTTTCTTGCATTTATTTCATGGATTTGGTTTTACCAATATTGATTTTCAAACCTATTTTATTGGCTTCAGTGGAAAGTGTTTCCAATTGGTCAGCCACATCTTGGAACCTTTGTCCTAACAGGCAGATATCGTCGGCGTATTCTAGATCGCTTAGGCGTGTGGTTAACGTCCATTGTATCCCTCTTGTGTCAGAGTCTAGTTTGGAGAGAACATAGTCTAGAGCTATGTTAAAAAGAAACGGAGAAAGCACGCATCCCTGTCTGACTCCAGTAAGTACGTCAAATTCGTCACTGTTGATCCCATTGTGTGTCACGCTGCATTTCGCTTCAGTGTACAGTAACTTTATAATGGAAATTATTTTATGCGGGATGTTTCTTAGCTCTAAAATTTTCCATATCGCATCATGAGATAAGCTGTCAAAAGCACGCTCGAAATCAACAAAAACCATGTATAGGGGTGTGTTCCATTCAACCGATTGTTCCATTATTAGCCTCACAGTATTAATGTGGTCTATGCAGGAGGATTCTGGTCTAAAGCCTACTTGATTAGCTCGAAATTCAACCTTGTTTGTTAATCTTTTAAGTATGATGGTCGTGAAGATTTTATTTATGGCGGTAAGCAAGGTTATTCCTCTCCAATTTTTGCATAGTGTGAGGTTGCCCTTTTTTGGAAGCTTAATAATGATGCCTTTTTTCCAGCCCGCTGGAATGCGGTTTGTTTCCCACACCTCTCGGATTATGGGGAGCAAAAGTTCAGCAGTTAGATGCGGATCAGTTTTAAGTATTTCGGCAGCAATGTTATCGATTCCCGGAGACTTGTTATTTTTCAGAGATTTGATAGCTGTTATTATCTCTGTTTTGGAAGGGGCGTCGCAAGATATACGCAAGTCTATATTCTGTGGATTTTCGACAATTTCATCTGCGTTATCCCTGGGCGTGCCTAGCATCTCCTGAAAATGCTCTTTCCATCTCTCTATTTGGTCATTTGTTGTAGTAAGTAATTCTCCTGTCTTGGATCTTACGACGTTTGAACAGTTGGGTCCCACTTTTTTGTTAGACGTCTAGTATCGGTATCGGTATGTAGTAATCGGTACCATTAAAATCAAAATGGCAAAAAACAAAATCACACGAAACACCCAAACGACCAACATACAATCTAGATAAATTAAAAACGGCTACAGGAAGACACATGTTTAGGGAGGAACTTCAATCAAAAGAAGAGAATGTGAAGTAAATAGCTGGGAAGATCTGGCAAATGTTTTGACAGAAATAGCTGAAAATAAACTGGGGTAAAAAAGGAGAAACATAGAAAAGAATGGATATCAGATGAAAACTTGGAATCTTGTCGAAGAAAGAAAACAGCAAAAAAAAGATATTTTGCAAGCAAGAACTGTAGAAGAAAGAGCGAACCGACAACAAGAATATGAAACAATAAATAAAGCAGTTAAAGAAATGCAAGAAGAGACAAAAGAAGATGGGCTGAAGAACTGACAAAACAAGCTGAAATACTGCACAACACAATAGAACTAGAGAGCTATACCAAAACGAATAGGTTTGCCCCGTACAAAATGTTTTTTTAGGATGATGTCCATAGTACGGGACATATGCTCTCTATCTGTAGCAACTGAACTTCTAACCTGTCAGTGTTTTCTTCGAGTTATCATATTATATGGAGATACCGTAATATATCCTCAAATCGACGTCGTCTTTGCATTGCTTCTGCAACTACAGCTACCTTGCAGTCAGATTTATTTTGCCAATACATCCGCTAACTTGAAGTTGGTGTTAACCAGATAATAAGATATTCCCAAGAAGACAGAAATTTCATCATAACTTACATTTAAACTATCCATTCCCCTTTTGTCCGGCATAAATATCAGTAAAAAAGCATTTGAAAGCTTGAAGTGGACAATTTACTGAGTTTTTTAAAAATTCTATAGTCGATGGTCCAAAGGGTATAGTAACGGCAGGTAAATTCCAACTATTTTCTTCATTTTGAGACCAAACACTGTTTGAAGATGCAATTACTTTTCGCTTTTTATTTCCAATAGGTTTTGAAGTACCTGGCTGTGGCCAATCAATATTTTTCTCATTCAAACAGATATTTATTGTACTGTTTGAATGATTCTCAACAATTTCCTCATCCAACTCAACAATCGCTTCCGATCTGAGGATTCTACCTGGTAAATGATTTGGATTTCCTTCAGTTTCGTCATCTGATAAATCTGAATCTTCGTCGGTATCAGCTTCAGCAGATTCTATAGGAGGAAATATTCCTATAGACCTGATTCTTCCAAAAAAACTTAATCTGTAATTTTTTTCACAAGCTTTCATAATTTCATCTACGCTAAACGTATTATCTTCGGACCTAAAAGAAAAAAATAAATCATTCTGGTGCTCAGTGGCAACTAAAATTGCCACGTGAATTTAGGGTACCACAATTAGGTTATAATTCAATGAACAGTTAATTTTCTTAGATCATTATATATAATAAACCTTTGGTTTACAATAAATTGAGTATGAACACATTATATTATAAACTAACTAAAAAATACTTACATTGTTTAGGGCTAAGTTTGGTTGCTACAAAACACTAATATTGAAATAAATACTAACGAGCACCTAATAAGTTTACAAGCAAATTTGTAGGTTATAAATACATGTGGATACGCTAAAAAATTATATACCACTTAAAAATAGGCCACACACAATACACAAGAGATTTTACTGGTGTTGAAAGTCACTAGCAACTAAAGTTGCTTCTGAGCGTTAATGGGTTAAGAAGGAATTGAAAACATATTTGAGTTTTAATACGTACGAATAGGAAACCTGAAATACATTAAAAATATTCTTCTATTTTCAATAAGGATTTTAATATTATATATATATATATATATATATATATATATATATATATATATATATATATATATATGACCTATACAAGGGGATTTCAGTATAGTTTAAAAATCAATTAATTGCAAATGCTACAACATGAAATTTAAAATCTTGTATTGCAGTAGGTTTTTTTAATTACAAGAATCTTTTTAATTTTATAGAGAAGTTTTAGATTTTTTATTAATTTATTAAGTTTTATCTACTTATTTACTCTCTTGTTATACCATGTTCGATAACAACATGCATGCAATATATCTGCAATATCTTTGGATACATTTTAATTTGTTTAATGGTATCTAAAATTTTTTACTTTTATTAATTAAATTAGTTTTACCCTTCATTTATAAAAATTACGATATTTTGTAGGTATTGGGCCGTAACTAACGTAGATTATATCCACACACGAAATAGCTACAGAATAGGAATTATGATAATAATAATATGGGCCATCGCATTGGTCGTTTCGCTGTCCCCTCAAATCCCCCATTCAAAGATCCGGACTACCTGTTCAGAATAAACGAAAAAAAAGCAGTGTTTAGTGTCGCAGGACGTCAAATATCAAATATTTGCAAACCAGTTCCACGTTTTACGTTCCTTTATTGATGATATTCATTTTATACTGGAAGATATTTCAAACTGCTAGAAAGAGGATTCGAAGGAGGAGAGAAATGAATTCACACAACACGGATAAACCGCACAAAATGAAATTAGGTAATGTATTTTAATATTGTTAAGCTTAATTTAAATAATTGACTCGTAAAGTGATAAAATTTTCATTTCAAAATTTTTACGATTTGCCTAGTAGCTTATAACCGCATTCTCTTAATCTAGGTTTAATATTAACTAAAGAAAAATGAGTCTTAAAAAATCCTATAAAAATTATGCTACCTTAACTTATAGAGAAACACACTCCTTAAGAAAGTCATACTTTAGCCATTACGTCCCTGTTTGGGTAAAACAGCTGCATAATGAAGGCTGCCAACTGCCGAGTGAAAGTCTATCCTATTCTGGCAGAGCCAATACCCCTGCGAGTTCATCTCCGGTGAAAGTGGTACGATAGCTATATCGTGGGGGCTCCATCCTCCCCGCAGTACTTGTGGTTGTCGTACGTACCGCTGCCCGCGATCCCTTGTGAGGGTGACCAGTTGAAGGATGGTGGGATAACGGACCACAAATGACATGTTTAATCCCTCCACTCATCTCTAACTACAGGTACATTCCAAAGGTGCACGTTCAGATTTAGCACCTGATTGTTATGTATAAGACCTGAAGAACCTCCTGCACAGGTTAATTGGAACGAAAGCAAAATGGTGGAAAGCAAACATGAGTTTGTTTAGGATACTAAAAAACGCAACCCGTTGACTAGTGCTAACATAAGTAAGGTTTACATGCGTCTAATAGCTGTTTAAATTACTTGATCAAGGAACTGGGAACTAGTAACTTGAATCGTGTAGACAAAGATTCAAGCGCCTGATCAAGAACTTAAAGAAGCGGTCAAGCAAGTCAAGTAACTTGAAAGCCATCCAACTTACTTTATTTAAAAAGGCGCTTCTCACCACGAAACGCTCAAACGACGGCCACATTATTGTTTCTACGTACGGGACGTAAGAACACCTCAAGCGATGGCTCACTAATTCTCAGTTTATCTCATTGGTCGACTTTTACGATCAGTAGGGACCAAGTACCTAGTTCGCCCTTTTGCTCCGAAGAGCTACTTGGATAGAGCCGCTGCTAAACAATCGGACATCCTATTGGTCGCCTCTTACGACTGAAGGGATCAGCCATTATCCGGTATTCTTTTACATCCGTTTTTGCTCTGTAGGAAGCTACTAGGATTATTTCGCACGATACACAGCCGCTGTTGGACATAGTAAGACAGAAATATATAGACACATAGACAAGAAATTGCAGTAATCATAAAAAAGAGACGTTCTAACAATCAGCTGAACAAAGACCAAAGACTGATGTTATGCAACAAAAATATTTTGTTTGTAGTTTTCAGCTTTTAAGGGTGGCCCCAGTTCTCCCTGTGCGATTCTTAGTTGCTTAAAAATCTGAAAAAATTCACAAACACATATGTTAACACATTACTGCGCATTGCTGTTATGTGAGCCGTATCGATTAGATAAAATAAGCACGTTAGTATTTCAACAGCATTAGAGGTACGTATTTGTGAATTTGTGAGCGTGTTGTTTAGAACATAACCTAGCTAAAACTATTAGCTCGTGTACGTTTTTCTTTTTTTTTTTATCTAAATATTGATAATGATGTGGCAAGGTCCATCAAATCCAAAAAAAAAAATACCTTTAACAGAAAAAAAACTTTTAAACATATAGCAGAATTCCGATGACGTCCAGAGAACGTCCATATTTAGTCCACCCAAAGTACGTCCCACTTCGTACGTCCATAGTACGTCCATTTTACGTCCAGGGACGTCCGGACCAAAACTGGACGTATATTGGACGTCCATAGGACGTCGTGTGTTACTAGGGAAGGTCATGTTCTCCATTTTCACAATGGAATATACTTTAAATTAAAAAAAAAAACTGCAATATTCGGTGATTTGTTTAAGCACTTAAAGCTCTCTGTTAAAGCACTCTGAAGCAATTTTCTTGTGGCATTTTAAAGTAATTCCTATTATTAATAGGAATAAGCCACAGTTAAAGGTAAGTTTATTGACGTTTCAAATTCCAGTTCGGAACCCGTTCTCAAAATACAAACATTAATATTAATGTTTGTATAATACTTTATTACATAATTACCTAATATATTACTGCCAGTTTTAGAAGGGAGAATGGGTGTTTTATAATCAATATGATTATAATATATATTATCAATACAATGATGCGGTAAAAAGTTTTGCTAACATTATCGAGGAATAATCCTTCTAAAAATGAAAGGAACATATATATATATATATATATATATATATATAATTATATATATTATATATATAGATATATATATATATATATATATATGTATATATAATTATATAGATATATATATATATATATATATATATATATATTATATATGTATTATATATAGATATATATATATATATATATATATATATATATATATATATATATATATCACATATTATATCCACAATAAATGTTTGGGACAAAATCGAAGCATAGCCTTATAGAAACAGAATTTAAATCTTTAAGTTTGGAATAGAAGTTAAGTACGAGTAAAGAATAGAATGCTGGAACAAACTTTCACGGCAGCCAAATCTCAACAAGAGCGGTATAGAGCTGTAAAGAAGAAGAATAGTGTCTTTATTGTATCTCTGGCAACAAACAGTAAAACTATTATAGTTGTGACGGATTTTACAGACATAAATCAAATATAGGACAGTTTAGAAATATTGTCGTTATATTATCTGGATTCCATACCCGATGGGAATAGAGACTCGATCAACTAACGTTAGAAACTACTTGAGATGACAAAAGTATAAAAAAATAAATTTATACATCGACTATAAGCAACTTATCACCAAAGGCATTATAAAGTCAACAAAATGGAAATGAATGTTTAAGCAAAATCAAATACAGCTCAACTTTCGTGAGTTTCTTTCTAACATTTCTGAGTTTGCAACTCAGCAATCAAGAACAAATAGCGAAATCAGTGATAATATTCAAAAAGCGTTTACGACGAATTTACTATACTTTCTAAAACATACAAAATTGTCTCATTGAACTGTATACATATCCTACTACTAACCTACTGTAATGTGAGCGTAGACAAGTGAGTGAGAAGTTGGAATAAAGGGGCTAAGTAGCATAGAAAAGATAATAATTATTTGAGATAATTATTATATATTCCAAATCAAATAAGGGATAATTATAACAGTAAAATTTGCATTTTAAATCACACAAAGAGATTGACCTAGTTATTGCATTGTTTGATAATTGTTTAAACGTAAAAAAAGCACGTTAAACAGAAACTATTGTTGTAAAAAATAACAACACCCGTGACCCAAATTAAAGTAATAACGCCAAAACTACAACTCAGCGAAACCACGACCTTGGTACTAGAACCGGCGTTGAAAAGTACGAGCACAATAAAACAAGAAAAAACGACGGTAGCCAGGCAGTTGGTAATGGGCAGTCAGTGATAGCTGGGCACCGTGGCTGGACGCGATAGCGTCCAGTACGCGATCAGTACGGGCAGTCAGTAATAGAAGTCAGTGGTAGTAATACGGCGGAAGCGATCCGTAGTAGTGGGGCAGCTGTGCCTGCCCAAGGCAGTAATTGCCTCCGGGAGCGTCCAGTACGCGAGTCAGTCGGTAATTCTCCGGAGGGCGCTTATCATCCGGCCTAGTATCGCGTGTAGTCCGGTTATTGTGGCAGCTCGTAAGTTCGCAACACAGGAGGAGACCCTCAACTGACCGAGTTCCAGAGGACCGAACGTGTCGTGGTTTGAAAGCCCAAATAAGGTAACAGATTTCTATATACTAACCTGAGTAATTATATTAGTACCACTGTCAACCTTTCACTATCTTGCTCCTCGACTTCCGACGCGCAGAATAACGTGTTAACGATTGTAATTGTAACTTCAGGGTAGATTCAATATATTGTTGACTCTAAATTAGTTTTTTTATGTTCCTTTCGTCCGACTCTCTAGAGACTAGGAGAACACGAGATTCTGCGTATGCATATCTCCGGCTTCAAAAGTAAGCCCATAACCTCTGCTCTTTACAGGACCTGAGACCTAGGGAGTCCTTACCCCTATCCCGAAAATCCCTTATCTTCTCGTAAATCCACGAAGACGAGTAAGCCCTCCAGACCAGTGTGACCAGTATTCCTTGCAGCCGTTCGCAGGGTTAGCATCCCTTAAGGATCTATTGTGTATTACATTTGGGGACAGCGTTTTCCTTACCTTCATATAACGCTCCCATTCCTATTATTTTACAGTGGTGACAGTCGGGAGACGCCTCTGATTATTACACGACCTAAACTGATGAAACTGTAATTGTATATGTCCTTTGTAATACTAAATTTATGATATATTTATAGTGTAAGTCTTTATTAATTCTAATTTATTGTTTTTATTATTTAACAAATGTTCTATATTTATAACACGTACAACTTAATTTAAAGTTTATTTATACTAGTTTATCTTACAATAATAATTTATTTCTTCAATCGTTACATTTTTAAAACGCGATCGCGATCTTTTTTTTCTGACTGCCTGTTTTCTCCAAAAAGGTCCCGTTATATACCAATACCGTTATTTGGAATTTCCGCTAGCTAGTCGAAGGGTTGTAGAATCTAGAATATATTAGTGAATAAACAACATGTTTATATATATATATATACTATATATATATATATTATATATATATATATATATATATATATATATATATGAAGATTGCAACAGACTAACACCTGGAGCTCCCTCCACCATATTTCGGATAAACCTCCAATCTAATTGGCGGCACTCCAACTTTAGCGTGGCTAACTTTTGCACGTCGGACTCTAGTACGTGCTCTCTCAATTGAAGTAAGGCTTCCCATACATCTCGGTAGGTTAGGTTGGTGTCTTTGTTGCCAGGTAGAAAAGGTAACGTGATGCATCTTGGAGTTTCAAGGTTTTTCCGGGAGCCGGCACTTGGCATTGAAGTTCTTCAACTCGACCAAACTTCCTTCGAAAGACGGATGCCAACCCTGGTGCGTCTTTGATACTGGCCGCGGATGG